TCAGTGGCTCGCTCTTTCTCATGTACATGTATCACACAGAAGATCTGTGCCATCCTCAGTGTGGGCATAGCACCCTCTGCAGTGACCCACCCCAGGCTATCAGGGAGCTCTGAGCCTCTGAGGCCAGACACAATGATTGCCCAGAGACTCAGCCACACCCCACGCCCTATTGTGCAGTCACAGAATTCCCACAGTCACAGTGTTCAGGGGACCCACTCTGCCCCATGTTCCTTCCCCATCCATGGAGAGAGCAGAGGCATTCCTAGAGCCAGTTGCCTGTGGGTGCTGTACCTTGGCAGTTTGAGCCCTGGAGCCTGTGATAGGGTGGGAGGGATGGGAGAGCCTCACAGTCCTAAGTGGGTGCCCAACCCCCTGCCAGTCCTCCAGGCCAGACTCAAAGTCAGCAGGGAATGTGGATTTTCCCCTCTGATAACATCCCCTAGTTGCACAGGTGAGAGCCGCTGCAGCCTCTAGTGGTGTTAAGATGGCACTTTCTCCCCTGCTGGTCACTGGGCACCCTTGTTGGGGGATGGGGAGAAACAAATATGCCTTTCTTTCACAGTGCTCTGCTAGGACTCCAGACCAGACTTAAAGCCAGGTTCTCCCTCAGGCAATATCACCAGATACCACCAGATCACGAATCTGCCGTAGTCTGCCCTCACCTCACTCTCCAAAGCTGGTGTTTCCTCCAGACCCACACTGCGTGAGTCGCAGGTGGTGTAGTTGCCTGCTGTCATTTGTACTGTCCACGCTGCTCCATGGTGTCTGTTCTTCTGCATAATTTCCACTGCAAAGCTCTCTGCAACTCTCCCCTTGGAATGTACTTCTTCCATTTTTCTTTGTTTATCTTTCAAAATCGGCACATCTTTCCCCAATCAGTCTTCTTGGAATCCTCCCAATAATTTTTTTTCTTTTCTTTTTTTTTTTTTTTGACAGGGAGAGTTAGAGAGAAAGGTCTTCCTTCTGTTGGTTCACCCCCCAAAATGGCCACTACAGCCAGTGTGCTGTGGCTGGCACTGTGCCGATTCGAAGCCAGGAGCCAGGTGCTTCTTCCTGGTCTCCCATGCGGGTGCAGGACCAAAGCACTTGGGCCATCCTCCACTGCCTTCCCGGGCCACAGCAGAGAGCTGGACTGGAAGAGGAGCAACTTAGACTAGAACCCGGCACCCATATGGGATGTTGGCACCACAGGTGGAGGATTAACCAAGTGAGCTATGGCGCCAGCCCCTCAATGACTTTTTTTTTTTTTTTGACAGGCAGAGTGGACAGTGAGAGAGAGAGAGACAGAGAGAAAGGTACTTCCTTTGCTGTTGGTTCACCCTCCAATAGCCACCGTGGCCAGCGCATTGTGCTGATCTGAAGCCAGGAGCCAGGTGCTTCTCCTGGTCTCCTGTGTGGGTGCAGGGTCCAAGTACTTGGACCATCCTCCACTGCACTCCTGGACCACAGCAGAGAGCTGGCCTGGAAGAGGGGCAACCGGGACAGAATCTGGTGCCCCGACCGGGACTAGAACCCAGTGTGCCGGTGCCACAGGCGAAGGATTAGCCTATTGAGCCGCAGTGCCGGCCTCAATGACCTATCTTTAAAAAATTTATTTGAAAGGCAGACAAGGGGATCTCCCGTCTGCTCATTCACTCTTCAACTACCTGCAACAGCTAGGTCTGGGCCAGGTCAAACCCAGGAGCCATGAACTCAGGCTGAATCTCCCATGTGGGTGGCAGGGACCCAACTACTTTAGCCATCACTGCTGCCTCCCAGGGTGCATTAGCAGGAACCTGGAATTGGGAGTGGAGAGTGGACCCAAACCCAGACACACCAATAGGGTGCAGGCTTCTCAAGCACCATTTTATTTTTAAAAATATTTATGTGAAAGAGTTACAAAGAGAGCTAGAAACAGAGTGAGAGAGGCCTTCCATCTGTTGGTTCACTCCCCAAGTGGCTGCAACAGCCAGAGCTGAGCTGATCCAAAGCCAGGAGCCAGGAGCTTCTTCCAGGTTTCCCATGCAGGTGCAGGGGCCCAAGCACTTGGGCCATCTTCCACTGCTTTCCCAGGCCATAGCAGAGAGCTGGATCAGAATTAGAGCATCTGGGGGCCAGCGCCACTGCTCACTAGGCTAATCCTCCACCTGTGGCGCCAGCACACCGGGTTCTAGTCCCAGTCGGGCACCGGATTCTGTCCCGGTTGCTCCTCTTCCAGTCCAGCTCTCTGCTGTGGCCCGGGAGTGCAGTGGAGGATGGCCCAGGTCCTTGGGCCCTGTACCTGCATGGGAGACCAGGCGGAAGCACCTGGCTTCTGGCTTTGGATCGGCGCAGCACGCCGGCCGCAACGGCCACTTGGGGGATGAACCAACAGCAAGAGGAAGACCTTTCTAACTCTGCCTGTCAAAAAAAAAAAAAAAAATTAGAGCATCTGGGACTTGAACTGGTGCCCATATGGGATGCCGGTGCAGCAGGCCAGGGTTTTAACCCGCTGTGCCACAGCACTGGCCCCTCAAGCACCATTTTATTTTTTTTATGGTTTTTATTTAATGAATACAAATCTTCATATGTACAGCTTTTAGGGATATAGTGTTTCTTCCCACCATACTGCCCTCCCACCTGCACTCCCATCCCACCTCCCACTCCCTCATCCGTTCCATTAAGATTCGTTTTTAATTGACTTTATATACAGAAGACCGATTCTTTACTAAATAGAGATTTCAACTATTTGCACCCACACAGACAAAGTATAAAGTACAATTTGAAAACAGGTCTTACCATTAATTCTCATAGTTCAACTCATTGAGGATGGAGGTCAAGCTTGGGGAGCAAGTGCACAGTGACTCCTGTTGTTGATTTAAAAATTGACACTCTAATTTATGACGTCAGTGATCACATAGCCTTGACATGAGCTGCTAAGGCTATGGAAGCCTTTTGCGTTCACAAACTCCACCGGTTTTTAGACATGGCCATATGCAAAGTGGAAGTTCTCTCCTCCCTTCAGTGTAAAGTACATCCTTCTTTGATGGCCACTTCTTTCCACTGGGGTCTCATTCAGATTCTTCATGCAGAGCCATTTTTGCCACTATGTCTTGGCTTTCCATGCCTGACATTCTCTCATGGTGTTTTCAGTCAGGCTTTAGAGGCGGATTCTGAGGTCAGAGTGCTGTTTAGGGTGTTTGTCATTCTATGAATCTGCTGTGTGGACTGCTTCCCATGTTGGAACATTCTCTCTTTTGTAATTCTATCTTTTGTTATTACCAGCACTTGGTCTTATTTATGTGATCCCTTTGACTGATGGTCCTATGTATATGATCAATTACATACTTAATATGATCACTTTATCATATAAGATGGGATTAGTGCCACCCAGCTAAATGGGATTTGGAGTCCTATGGCAAGTTTTTAGCTTCACCCTTTGGGGGTAGGTCTGTGGGAATGTGTTCTCATCTGTACAGTTCCTCCCTCTCTCATTCCCACTGGGATCTATTTTCGATTGACTTAACATAGAATTAATCATAGATGTATTAAGTAAGGAGTTCAGCCAATGGTATTAAGTAGAGAGAAAAAAAAAATAAAAAAATAAAGTGAACTAAGAAAGTGTTCCTTAACAGTCAAGACAAGGGTCAAACACCATTTTAAATGTTGTACCAAATGCCTCCCCTGGACGAGTGTAGAATACTTGTTGATGAAATCTAGTCCTCTAAAGTGGATAGAGAAAATGGTCTAAAAAGAAACAGGACAGTTTCAGGATTGAACTATTCTGTGGGTCAACAGTCATCCAAGATCCAGACTCTCTGGTTTTCTACTTTATTCCAGGATATCTGTAGTTGCAATATGGCTGCAATAGCTACTGGCATTATGGTTGTCTCATTATGAAATGTTCCACTTTGTCTTAAAGTCCATTTATCAGATATTAATATACTTATACCAGCTTCCTTAAGAAGTGCATGGCAATTTTTTTTTATCATTTTAAGTGCCTCTGGAAACAACATTTTACAAAATGATCTGTTGATTATCCAAGTCTTTCATTTGGGATTCTTTGCTCATTGATAATTTAATTATAGGTATGTTTGGGTTTAAAGCCACCATTTGGGTAATTGTTTATAGTTTCCTCCATCCATCTTGTTTTCTTCTGGATTAATCAAGTACTTTTTATTATTCGGTTTTCAAATTCTGGAGGTTTTTTCTTAATTTTTATTTATTTGACAGATTTAGACAGTGAGAGAGAGACAGAGAGAAAGGTCTTCCTTCCATTGGTTCACACCCCAAATGGCCGCCACGGCTAGTGTGCTGCACTGATCCGAAGCCAGGAGCTCCCTCCTGGTCTCCCATGTGGGTGCAGGTGCCCAAGCACTTGGGCCATTTCTACTGCTTTCCCAGGCCATGAGCAGCCAGAATATGGACTGGTACCCATTCGGCATGCTGATGCCAAAGGCATAGGCTTAATTAACCTACTATGCCACAGTGTCAGCCCCTCTTTTTAAAAAATATGTATTTATTTATTTGAAAGTCAGATTTGGAGAGACAAAGATCTTCCATTCACTGGGCCAGGCCAAAGGCAGAAGCTTCATCCAGGTCTCCCGCATGAGTGGCAGGGGTCCAAATACTTGGGCCATCAGCAGGGAGCTGGGTCAGAAGTGGAGCGGGGACGTGCTGGCATTGCAGGTGACAGCTTTTCCTGCTGTGCCATAAGGTTGGCCCCTGTGGGTCTATTTCTGTTGGCTCTTTTTTTCCTTTTGATGGTCAGTAACATTGTTCTGCTGCTTCACAGTCATGTAATATAAACAACTTACGTGGCTATTATGTATAAAAGAATCATCAAAGTGGAAAGGTATTTTCACCTGGATGTGTGCTCCTTTTCCTTCCTCTGTCAAACAGTGCAGATGAGAGGTTCACAACTTTGATGCAATCAGGGGTTGAGATGAGACAATTAGGTTTTTTTTTTTGTGGGGGGGGATTCTTTTTAATTCACCTCTGGTTTCAGACATCTTGAGAGATCTTTCCTATGTCTATTTCAGGAAGCAGTCTGGCAAGACACTGGAATCGAAACATTCCAAGACCACAGGAACTCTCCAGTTTTTCCAGCTTAGTGCCCAGCTTCCCCTGCTGCTGTACACTAAGCAAAACCACTGCCAGGGTAAGTAGCACTGGCGAGGGAGACCAGTGGTTAACAAGCTGTCAGATTCCAAGGTCACCAGCCCTCAGGGCCAGTTACTGCCTCACTGGTGTCTCTGCACTTCAGTCAGGTTCCTCTGCCCGCAGCAGACCTTGTTCTCCACCAACCTAGGAATGCTCCAGGGCCAAGAGGCCGCGCCCTGCACTCGTATTTAATTCCTGTACCCTCTCCACAGATGTCCACTATCTGTGAAGATGTTACACTCTTCAGTTTGTTTTTCTAGTTGCTGCAGTGGATTCTGGAGTCTCCCTGTAGCCACTGCCTTTTTTTTTTTTTTTTTAAATCTGTTAAGATTTACTTATTTACAGAGAGGGAGAGAAGTCCTTTCCCCAGATGGCTACAGTGGCCAAGGGATTGGAACTTTTTGAATCTAAATCTTTCAACTAATGTCTACAGTGCTTTAAAATTTACCAACACAGACAATATTGAAAACCTTTTAAAGTCTTATATAAGTTGATTTGTAGCTATTATAAACGATAGTGACATAAAATTATTTCTATTCATGATAAATTACAGATTGACCTTTATTAAGATAAAAAATTTGTATCTAGCAATTTTACTAAGTGTTTCCATTAATTGTAATAATTTCTATATAGGTCCTTTCAAATTTTCCATTTAGGTAATCATGTCACAAACAGTAACAGAGTTAGGTCTTAAGTGAATACTTACTGATTATTTTAATGTAAAACCAACTTTGCATTGCTGGGTAAACTTAAGTTGGACAGAATGGATTCTAAAGAAGTTGGTTATTTTTTCTAAAATATTTGTTTATGTGAAAGAGACAGATAGAAATCTCCCCCACCTGCTGGTTCACTTCCCCAGTGGCCACAACAGTCAGGTCTGGGCTAGGCTGAAGACAGGAACTCCATCCTGCTCTCCCACATGTGTGGCAGGATCTTAAGAACTTAGACCATCTTCTGCATTCCCAGGTGCACTAGCAGGAAGCTGGATCAGAAGTGGCCATGGCCGGCGCTGTGGTGTAGTGGGTTAAGCCACTACTTGCAGTGCTGGCATCCCATATGGGCACTGGTTCGAGGATCAGCTGCTCTACTTCCAATCCAACTCTCTGCTGTGGCCTGGGAAAGCAGAAGATGGCCCAAGTCCTTGGGCTCCTGCACTGGTGTGGGAGACCTGGACGAATCTCCAGCTGTTGCAGCTACTTTGCCACCTTAAACAAAACTAAGTTTTCTAACTTTAAGGAATGAAGGGAGGGATATTGGAGGAGCTATCTGCCAGTTTCTAGCAATTTTCTGTTTGAATCTGTTGTACAGAATCTATATCTAGATTGCATTCTTTCCATAATGCAATGAAAGACAGCTAACATACATATAGGATCTGCATTAATAAAGAATCATACAATATTTCATACCAAGTTATAGTACAGGGGTATGTCAAAAAGATCATGGCAAAGTAGAAACAAATGTACATTTTCCATGCACTTCTTGACATACCAAAACGTTTTGTGATGTAAGCCTAGTGGAGTTTAGTGGTATACAATACTTAGATTGCTCTTTAAAGTTTGTCCCAGTGTAATGTGAGTGAAGAGTTGTATCTCAATGGTTTTTCTCCAGTGTGGGTTGAGGAATGAGACAACAGATGTTTTCTTGCATTTGATTCAGGGTTTCTGCCCAGGATGTATGTGCTTGTGCTGAAGCCTTTTCCACACTGAGTACACGCACAGGGCTTCTCTCTAGTGTGAGACCTCGTGTGTTTCTTAAGGGAGGACTGACAAATGGAGGCTTTCCCACAGGCACTGTATCCATAGGGATCTTCTCGCGTGTTAGTTCTGACACTTTTTGGAAGGGACGGAGGGGCAGTGAAAGCTTTCTCATGTTCATTACACTTCACGTTCTGCTCCACAGCGTGTATTTTTTGTGGGTGGCACTAAGGGAGGGCCTTTTTCTGTAGTCACTGCATTTACAGAGCTTCTTTCCAGCAGGTAACCTGCATTCTTCCTTCTCAGGATATGAGCAGATAAAGGATATACCATATTGATTGTACTCAAGTACTCTCAAAGGAGAAGTTTTCTAAGGGACGATTCTTGATTGAAACCTTTTTCAAGAGTTTTCTCTCTAGTGTGAGTACTCACATGATTCCTAAGAGTTGAGGGAAGGCTGGAGAATCTGCCATGTTCTGTGTATTTGTAGCATTTCTCGCCATTGCAATATCTTGTACAAGTAAGGGAAGAGTTCTTGCCAGGGTGGGGGTTTGGTACCTGTTGAATAAGAGTAAGTGGTGACTAAAGACTTTCTTACTTTCACCATTGACATGTTTGCCATTTTCAATATTATGTACAACGTTTCAAGCTGAATAAGCTCAATATCCTGCCTAAGGCTCCACTGTATTAATAGTTACTCAAGCAAGTGAAGAATGAAGTAATCTAAGTAAATGCTTACCTATGGGTATTTTCTGCGAGGCAGCAAATGTTGGGTTTACAGATTTCCCCAATTTCATGAGAATCATAAACTCTCCTGAGACAGCGTTCTGCACAGAAATTGCATCTTTTGACTTGAGTTTCAAATTAGCATAGGGAAAATTTTTATGATTACTGAAGAAAAGGTTGAGATGAAAGAAAAGCAGGTCCCATTTGTAAATAATACTGGAGGGAGAAAATGTAAAAGACAAGATCCTTTGAGATCAGATCAAAGTATGAAAGATTGGATAGACAGGGAGGAAAGCTCATGAAGGACCTCAGCGTGCTTTTCCATTCCAAATTACCAGCCCTCACCAGCCAAGGCTGCTGCCACAGTGCCCAGGCTCACCTGTACAGGCACTGTGGAGAATTCCTTTGTTCTCTTGTCTCCCTTGGAGCTCAGATTACGTTTACAGAGCTGATGTCCTGTGTGTGAGGAAGCATACATGAGGGGGGAGACTGTGAGGGTGACAAGAAATCTTTGTTTTGCTGCTAAAAAAGTTGCACTTGACAATCAAAACAGAGCTGTTCAACAAGGACCAAAAAGCAAATGCTCCATCCCCATATGGAATTGACTCTTGGAATCCTTGCCGAAGATCAGACTGCCCCACAGTGGAAGGAGTCATCTGTTTGGGGCTTTACCTAGTCCTCCCATTCTCTTTTTGGAACAGAGTATGTGCTTAAGAACTACTGTCTGGGGCAAGTATTTGGCCCAAGAGTTTACATGCATGTGTCTTAGACATCAGAGTACCTGGGTTTGATACTCAGCTCGACCGTTGAGTCTAGCTAGCTTCCTGCTAATGCAGACCCTGGGAGGCAGCACTGCCTCAAATGACTGGGTTCCTGCCACTCATGTGGGAGACCTGGATTAAATTTAGACATTAGGGGATTGAACCAGCAGATGGGAGCTCTATCCAATTAAAAATAAATCTGTGGGGCCAGCACTGTGCTGTAGCAGTTACAGCTGCTGCCTGCAGTGCTGGCATCCCATGTGGGCACTGTTTCAAGTCCTGGCTGCTCCACTTCTGATACAGCTCTCTGCTGTGGCCTGGGAAAGCAATAGAAGATGTTCCAGGATGTACCCATGTGGGAGACCCAGAGGAGGCTTCTGTTCAGCACAGCTCCAGGCAGCAGAGAAGACCTCTCTCCTTCTCTGTGTGTAACTCTTTCAAATAAATAAATCTTAAAAAAAAAATCTACTTGCTGCAAGAGTAAATGAAGGAGTGAGGCCTGCCTTACCCTCTAAGGCCAGGTTCCTAAAGTTCTCCAGCATCACATCTCTGTAGAGATTTCTCTGAGCAGGGGTCCAGCAATGCCCACTCCTCCTGGGAAAAGTCCAGTGCCACTTCCTGGAAGGTCACCGAGTTCTAGAACATCATAGACACATTCTGGTTCAGTCAATGAATGTCTTCAACAATGCATCAGAAGGGTGGCAGGTGCCAACCGGACTGGGGAAGGAGACCCAAGGCAAAAGCAGCTCAGACCAGCATCGGAGGCCTCGTATTTGCCCCAGTGCTCAGTTCTTAGAATTCGCCCCTTTCAACTTTATTTCCTGGGCCATTGTACTCAGGCGTTACCAGCTTTCCTAAGATATGGTAGTCCTCATTCAGATCCCGTGTTGACAGGGCATACTGCAGCAATGAGCGCGATGCATGGAAAATGACCTTCCTAGTACCCAGCAGAGTGTAGAATTCATATTGCATCTGGAGGAGTATCCCAACAAGATTAACATATTTTTTTTAACTTTTATTTAATGAATATAAATTTCCAAAGTACGACTTATGGATTACAATGCCTTCACCCCCAATACTGTCTCTCCCACCCACAACCCTCCCCTT